TCAATAAGGTGGCAGAGAAAAAGGGCGCACCAGAGGAAAAGGGCTGCCGTAGGGGGGTGGAGGATCCAAAGCCTGTTCAGGGACCTGCTCCTTTCCTTTCCTTCCCAGGGTTGGAAGGGGGGACCCTACATGGGTCCCCGTGAAAGGACGAGGGTCTGTCGGTTGCAGGGAGGAATGCAAGCCACTGCAAAGGGGAGCGTTGGGGGCCCACAACAAGGTCTGGGCACTCTTCTCCCAGGGCTATTACTGATGAATTCAAACTAGGGAGAGACTAAGACCTTGTCTTTGCAATGTAGAACTTTTCCGTATCTCGGGGGCATTACGGCTGGTTTACTAAAATCCAATCTTAGAATAAAAGCACAGAAAACCGAGAACCAAATTCTGCGTGTGATATTCTGGACCGCTAGAAGTCCTCCCCCCTCCCCAGTTCCTTGCGTGCGCTCCTTCTTGGCCCTGCCCCCTCCACCTTTGTCTCCCCATTCCCCGATTCCCCTGTCCATCTCTAGGATTCCCGTTCCCGAGTATTTCTCCCCTCTCCAGATCCTCAATTTGTGTGAGGTACAGGACTCCCTCCACTCAGGGAAGAAAAAGAACCAAAGGGCCGATGAGAGTGACCTGGAGACGTCCCTGTTACTCCGCCCCTGAAGTAGGCCTGTCCACGCGAACGCTCCTGTGCAACGGCTGGGTGGTAGTTGTTGTGTTGTGTTGTGAGTGTGTGGCCTGTGGCGTGGTTGTTGGGCCCGACTTGTGTGTGAATGTGTCTAAATATGTTGTGGCGAAGAGATGGTCGTGCGACCTGTATGTGCCTGTTGTGGTATGGTTTAAGCATGTGTGTGGGGAGTTGTGTACGGCATGGTGAGTGTGTGTGGAGTGGTTGTAATGGGGAGTCAAATGTGTCAATATCTCTTGGGCATCCCAGGAAACCTCCTCTCACCTTTGGCTCCACTGGCACTGGGGTCAGGTATTCATGGTGTTATGTGCTATCCTGTGCTATTTCAAGGATAGCGATCATATTATATTAATCAGATGGTCATGTTGTAGGAGGCTAAGGCTCCCCTCACTGGAAAGCATTGTACGATTTGAGGGAGGGTGGACTGGGGAGCTGATCGTGTGTTTGCCTGATCCTTCATGGTTCCTTGATCCTCTACAGCGATATCAAGGTTGAGTTCGTTCTTGAGTGAAAAATAAGGTTTGGCGGATCAGCTAAATGTCCTTTCCCGGGGACCAACAGGAGAAGCAGAGCCATGGTGGGCATTGGAAGAATGCGCAGTCAAAGAAAAACTATTATATGCAAAATTTTTCCAGGTGTCACAGTTTTAAGTCTGCACAAAGGCTCACATAGAACCAATATCAAAACAACAAATTTCTAGCTCAGGTGAGATCACCGAAGTTGGCTGCCAGTCGTAAGGAAACTGCAGGTATAAAGGACATCTCTAGCTAGGGCTGCAGCCCAATCGCCCCTGCATCTTAGGGCCCCTGGAAAGGACCCTCTCCATTCAATAGCGCAGGGTGAGGACATTTTGGGGGAGAAATGCAGACTCTCCTTAGACCCCTGGGGTTTGTACATTCACTGTCTGACTTTTTAGGTGTTGTCTTCATTTTTGAACAAACTACAGTTACATAATTTGCTCTGACTTTAAG